TTTTACGAGATAAAAAATCGTTATTACGAGAAAAAAGTCGTTATTACGACTTAAAAAAGTCGTAATTATGAGATAAAAAGTCGTAATAACGAGATACAAAGTCGTTATTTCGACTAAATACAGACATTATTACGAGATAAAAAGTCGTTAATACGACTTAAGAAAGTCGTTATTACGAGATAAAAAGTCGTTATAACGACTTTAAAAAGTTGTTATTACGAGATAAAAAGTCGTTATAACGAGCTAAAGAGTCGTAATAACGAGCTAAAGAGTCGCTAATACGACTTAATAAAGTCATTATTACGAGATAAAAAGTCGTTATTACGACTTAAGAAAGTCATTATTACCAGATAAAAAGTCGTTATTACGACTTAAGAAAGTCGTTATTACGACTTAAGAAAGTCATTATTTCAGGATAAAAAAATTGTTATTACGAGAAAAAAAAAGTCGTAATAACGAGATAAAAATGTGTTATTGCGACTTACAAAAGTCGTAATAACGAGATAAATAGTCGTTAATACGACTGAATAAAGTCGTTTTTACGAGATAAAAAATTGTTATTACGAGAAAAAAAGTCGTTATTACGACTTAAAAAGTCGTTATTATGAGATAAAAAGTCGTAATAACGAGATAAAAAGTCGTTATTTCGACTAAATACAGACATTATTACGAGATAAAAAGTCGTTAATACGACTTAAGAAAGTCGTTATTACGAGATAAAAAGTCGTTATAACGACTTAAAAAAGTTGTTTTTACGAGATAAAAAGTCGTAATAACGAGATAAAAAGTCGTTATTTCGACTGAATACAATTGCTATTACGAGATAAAAAGTTGTTATTACGACTTAAAAAAGTCGTTATAACGAGATAAAAAGTCGTTATTAGGAGATAAAAAATCGTTATTACAACTTAAGAAAGTCGTTACTAACGAGATAAAAAGTCATTATTACGACATAAGAAAGTTGTTACAACGAGATAAAAAGTCGTTATTACGACTTAATAAAGTCGTTATTGCGTGATAAAAAGTCGTAATAACGAGATAAAAAGTCGTTATTACGACTTAAGAAAGTCGTAACAACGAGATAAAAATTCGTTATGATGACTTTATAAAAGTCGTAATTACATGATATTTAACTAGATAAAAAGTCGTTATTACGACTTAAGAAAGTCGTTATTACGAGATAAAAAGTCGTTATCACGACTTAAGAAAGTCGTTATTACGATATAAAAAGTCGTAATAACGAGATATAAAGATGTAATAACGAGATAAAAAGCCGTTATTACGACTTAACAAGCACTCTCTGTAAGCACCAAAAATCTTGGAAACGACATATCTCCGATTTTGATGAAATTTGCACCACAGGTGCACCTTGGTACAAAACCAGCAAACATGGTGTTAAAAGTTTCCCGCGTGCACCCAGTGGCCATGGAGACGGATTCATTAAATTTGGCCGTTTTTGATTAAACAAAAACATGAAAATTGAGGAAATATGAATGCATTTTTTTTCTTTATGTAGTGAATTCAAATAAATCTGTGTATCGTAAGAAAACATCAACTGTTAAAGAATACAGGGCATATAACCAGTTTTATTATATACCCATCAATTTCCTTGTTTTTGTTACTGTTAATTTTACAGACTTTGATCCGATTTTCCAGATCAACACACTGTGGTTTTCTGAATCCATATCACCACTCTCTGAAACTGATAACGTAGTACGCAAAAACAATTTTTTGCGCGTCAAAAAGTCCCTTGTTATATATTATGCATCGTTTAATAGATAAATATTATACAATTGATCCCTCAAGTGTTATTTTCTATATTTGGCTAGTTATAAGGGAGTATTTAATAAATTTATCATTATAACAGTAACTTGATCCGAAGAGCAGTATCACGTCTCGTTGACAGGCGCGGATCATCAGATCACACTCGACGCTTCGCGTCTCGTGAGATCTGATGATCCGCGCCTGTCAACTCGACGTGATACGACTCTTCGGATCAAGTTACTGTTATAATAATATATATTTATTATATACCCATCAATTTCCTTGTTTTTGTTACTGTTAATTTTACCGAGTTTGATCCGATTTTCCGGATCACCGCACTGTGGTTTTCTGAATCCATATCACCACTCTCTGAAACTGATGACGTAATACGCAAAAACATGACGTTATTTTTCTTGCGCGTTAAAAAGTCCCTTGTTATTATGCTTTGTTTTATGGATAAATATTATACAATTGATCTCTAAAGTTTTATTCTGCTATATTTAGCTAGTTATAAGGGGGTATATAATAAATTTATCATTATAACAGTAACTTGATCCGAAGAGCCGTATCACGTCTCGTTGACAGGCGCGGATCATCAGATCAAACTCGACGCTTCGCGTCTCGTTAGATCTGATGATCCGCGCCTGTCAACGAGACGTGATACGACCCTTCGGATGAAGTTACTGTTATAATAATATATATTTATCCTGCAACTAACCCTTGCATTGACCTAATAAAGGTAACCTAATAATCCAAAGCTTTATTGTATACCTAATTTGTATCACCCAATTTTACTGTTGAATTTACGATATCACGTGACGTCGTGATCCGATTTTCCGGATCACGAACATGTTGTTTTCTGAATCCATATCACCACTCTCTGAAACTGATGACGTAGTACGCAGAAATATTACGTTTTTTTCATGCGCGTTAAAAAGTCCCTTGTGATTATGCTTTGTTTTATGGTTAACTGTTATGCTATTGATCTCTAAATTTTTTTTGCAAATTAGGAGGGGGTATATAATAAATTTATCATTATAACAGTAACTTGATCCGAAGAGCCGTATCACGTCTCGTTGACAGGCGCAGTTCATCAGATCAAACTCGACGCTTCGCGTCTCGTTAGATCTGATGATCCGCGCCTGTCAACTCGCCGTGATACGACCCTTCGGATCAAGTTACTGTTATAATAATATATTTACATTTACTTTGTTTGACCCTAATAAAAAGCATTGTAAAATTATAAGTGATAAATTACACATAACACACAAGACCAAATCACCGAAGTCTGCCTGGCGTATGAATACAGGTACAAAGCGAAAACTTCATTTTTTTATACTATTCATTTGTATTTCTTTGTTGCAAAATATAGTTTATCATTTTAGATTGAAAAATTATGAAAGCGTGATTATTGTTATCTGTTTTACTGTGCACTATTTTTGTTTGCGGATTTTGGTTTGTGTGCAAACAAACTCTGGCGGGAAACTTTGATAAAGCTGTTCCAAAAGCTGTTCTATCAATTGTAATTTACATGAAGGATAAGGCGGGAATTTTATTTTAAACATTTATGATAGCGGAAAATACAGGGGTTAAAAAATGTAAATATAAGCATTGAATAATCATTTTTTGAAAGATGCAGTCTCATAACTGCAATGGTGTGTGCAAACAAATTTTCATAACGCGCTAACGATAAAGTTGTTATTACGTATTACTTAAGAAAGTCGTTATTACGACTTACGAAAGTCGTAATAACAAGATAAAAGTCGTTATTACGACTTAATAAAGTCGTTATTACGTGATAAAAAGTCGTAATAACGAGATAAAAAGTCGTTATTACGACTTAAGAAAGTCGTTATTAGGAGATAAAAAGTCGTTTTATATATATAAAAGTAAATATATAATGGTGATATTTTTTTACACAATATTTACTTACAAGCAGTTGTAGCCAAAGTTATCAAGAAAACAACAGTTGTGTAAACAATGTCCATCCTGAAACAAAGATTTCGGAATTCTGCCGGTTAAACTGTTGTTAATATCGTTTATATACTTCATGAAATAAAATTTCGTTGTGTATTTATCTGCATATTGCAGTGACAAAGGTTTTTCCTGTGCGTTCTAATTTCGTCTTAGCTTATCAATCAAGGAAGAAAAAGAACTAAAGAAGTTGGATTAATATTTTACAAGAAAGATTAGTGTTTACGCTAACCTTAAATGACTCAACTTAATGTCGTCAACTTCTCATTTTATGAAGCAGTACACCTTTATTCCCTGCTAATAGAGTTTAGTTTCCCTCTTAACTCGATACGCAAGAGCATGTTCCAACTACGAACAATATCTGAAAGCAAGGCAAACTATTGACAAAAACGTTGATGAAACAAAGATATCTTCATTCTTGTAAAGGGACAGGCACGTTATCAAATATCTTGAAGATAAATTTATTTAAATTTACAGTCAGAGTCAGGAGAGGGCAAGCAAAGATTCTTTTAAAGGTGAGTCTACATGCACTTAGTGTAGTCTACTTGTGTGCAAGTTAAATTGAAATTAGATTAAACTACAGAAGGAGTAGGGTTTTGAAATATAGTTTACAGACAGACGGAGTCACGGATCATCTTAAATTTTTATCTTCATCTATTTTTATTAAAACTTGGCACAAATTAGACTACACAAAGCTATATAACTCTGAATAAGTGAATATCGATTTTTGATTTCGGTGAATGATGTTGCCATGGTAATTTCCTTGAAATTGTTCCAAAATGCTACTCCTCCTACAGTTCTGGTCTGATTTCAGTATAACTTGGAACACAAGTAAACTACACTAAGATACATAATTGTAATTCCCAATATCCTTTTTTGGTGTTGCCATGGTTACTTAACCGCTACTCCTCCTACAGTTTTGGTCCGATTTCAATATAACTTGGTACACAAGTAGACTACACAGAGATACATAATTGTCTTTATTGTTTTTTTTTTAATATTATTGTCATTGTTACTGAGTACTCAAATTAAAATTTCTGTAAAATTCTTTTAAAAAGCTACTCTTCCATCTGTTTGAGTTTGATTGCAACAAAGAGACAAAACTGTTTCAAGTCCAAGTATTACTTTTATCTACCTTTGTATAAAGTAGAGACCAGTAGAGCTACAGTCTTGTCAGACTTCTGGTTTTTCATTGCAGCAGCTCTTGTTTCAAAACAACTTGGATTAAGATCACAGAAATAACAAACACTATGATTTTGGAGTTCATTTCATTTTGTATGACTATTTCATTTCAAATCATGCTACAAATAACATTTACAGCAGAAAAATTGGATGGTGTATGGTATTTGATACCAAAGCATATTCATTGAGTAAAAAAAAAAAAACACTTAAAACACTTAAGGATATGGTTTTAAAACACTTAAAACCTTTAAAAAAATCATATCATAGAAACATCAGAAAGTTGTACTTTTATCATAAAACTGTCAGACTTCCCCTCTAAAAATTTACTGAGTAAAATCAATCATCCATCCATTTGCTTAAATTTCAATGTTCACAAAAGAAGTCTTCATGCATTTCTACATAAAACTTCAAACTATAAATGCATTCTAACCTTGTACAATGACTTGAATTAATTCGAATTTTCACTGAATAGAGCTGTTTTTATACTTTGGTTCAATGGTTGTATTAAAGATATAACAATCTATTTATGTAACAGTGGCCCTTCATTTTAATCCCCGAACTTTGAAGCATGTTTTGCAGGAAATTGTTCTGATAGTTTTTCAACACAAAAAATGTCAGACTTCACACTCAGATGAAAAGATAAAAATAATTTCCTTATAACAGAAAGAAGAAGTTGAGAGATGGAGTAAAAAGGGTATAAATAAAGAAAATAGTACACAGTAAATCATCTCTGTACAATGTGTAGGCTGTCAATAACAAAACTAATGGCCTGCATAGGATTATCTATGTTATGTAAAGATCCCCTGTGTAATACCCAGTCTGGGCGGATCTTTGGCAGTTTATGAGGGGTAGCTCGGATAGGAAGGGTGTAATTCATTGCTTTTGATGCGTTCAGTTTTGCTTGTCGCATTTGCTGGTTCTCGTGCAGTTTGTATTTTCTTGCCGTCAATTTATATAGACTCTGCAGTCGCTCTGTCACTCTAAGCTGAGAGAGTATGATCTGGAAAATAAAATATGTAATTGGTACAAAGTTTTGCAGGTTATTTAATTTTTCAATCAGTCTGAGACATAATTACAGTACACTAATGATCCCCCTTTACGCAAATTATCCCACATTTCCAACTAATCATTGATGCCCTGCAACCCAACAATATAGACAGTGTCAGATTCTTTAATTCCACTACATTTCATTTCTTCACTTTTACAAAAAAACAAAAACATTGTAACATGACAACTGTTAATTTGAAAATGACATCATATGAGATACATCCACTGGATACTGGAGTAAACATGAAATGAAATAAATAATGTCCTGATTTTGTAAGGTTTATCATGTTTATGCAGCATTAGATTTTTTAATTACCTTTCTTCGACATTCATCTCTGCCTAAAATTCCCACCAGGGTACAAGTTCTATTAAATATGAGGCCTTTCTCTCTGTAAATCTGCATCAGTTCCAGCAAAATATTCATTGCTCCCTCCACAAAGACAAAGGGCAAGGTTCTGTCATACTGAAATGTCATCAATATACTATGTAAATATTTATATATATTAAATATATTCACAGTAGTGTCAAAATCTGATTATTTTATGGAATTAATTAAATGGCTACCTGTAATACCAATATTTGGACAGTCTGCGCTTTATAAATAACAAAGTGGTTTATAAAGAGTTTATAATACAATTTTTTACCTCCAATCAAATTTTGCATTTAGCAAGAATTTTTTGAATTATTTTAAATTGTACACAAACAGGGTACCTTGGCCAGATTGAGCAGAATGCTGACAGCCATTTTAATGACCTCCATGTGAGGTTGACTCCTGTTACAGCTACTGATCAGTGTATAAATCACAGACACAGCATTCACCTCTACCAGTCTCTCACAGCAGGCTGGGGACAGACGTGTCGCCACATCTAGCAAAAAATAGGAGTAAATGTATGAGACATTACAAATATACTTGTCATGCTAATTTTGAAGGCTCTTGTAATATGGTGCATAGCACATGTATAATGACATTAGGTACCATCAGTGTTTAAGGCAATTTGTTTCAAAAACAGATTTTTACAGTATATATTCCTTCCATGAAATGTTGAGATATGGTTTCTTAAATACTGTAAACCAACTTTTATCCCAATGCCAAAAATTTCTGCCAGTTTCAGGACCTACCAGTACTTTAACTTACAAATATTTCTCTGTCAAAACCATTATTTTGCTTTGTATTTTAGAGCAAGTTTTCTCAGTTACAAAATTTTATCACTCCAGATTGATTTCAATCTGACAAAGCACGAATAAAAGAAGACACATAATGATAATTACTTAACAGTAATAAATGAATTGTACAGTTATACCTAGATGGAATAAGGCCTCCAGTAAATGTGACAGTTGTTTGTACTGTAGGAGATAATCCAGTGCTGACTCGGTGCGGTTTCCCAGCTTCTTGTCCTCGGTGGCGCTCCTCTGAGCCTCCACCACTCGCTGTCTCACCCTGGCCACCTTCTTACACTTGTTTCTCATTCTCACTTGTCTTCCTCTCCAAACAGCCTGTAATGACAACTCACAATTGAGAAAAAGCAAAATATCTAACAAGATACAGAAAGAATCATGCTAAAAAAAGGTAGAGTAACTAGAAAAATAGATAATTAAGGCATACTAATCTACTCTAGTTGTATTTTTTATCTCGACCTTTGAGCAAGTGGCCTCAAAATGGATAGGTGTCCTTAAATTGTATCATAAATAATGAGTCTGGTGCTAAATTATACTATTTGCTATATATCTTTAATTTTTCAGTAATATCATAAACTTCCAAATTACTTTGACATATCCATTGTATCTGAGATATCAGTGTACATAGTGTATGAGATATCAGTGTATATCGTGTATGAGATACTAAGGTTACACTGTATTTGTTACCTGTATTGTTGTAGCTGCGTGTTGTCTTTCTTTATCATGCTGTATTTGTATCCACTTTAATGCTGCTGATTCGATCACAAAGACAGACCTCTTCAGCTTCAGAAACCTCAAGCGGCTTATTCTTCCTCTCATCCAGTTCTGAAATAAAGCAATGTTAAAGCATGTTCTTTATCTTTTTAGGAACCATCAATCAGACAAGAAAGAAAACTATATCTTTAATATTCTTATTATTTGATTCTGAGAAGAAAAAAAATTCTTTTAGCTGCTTTAGGTATAAATTGTACTTGTATCATGAGGACACTTTGAAGTTGTTTCTTGGCATGACATAATGACACATGCTTTCTGTAGCATCTCTGTATGATGGTAGCTGCCATGTGAATCTTCATTCTTTGGGCAAATTGTAGCAAGTAATCTTGTCTCTCTTTCTCCTGAAGCTTAAAGAGAAATTCATGTTTTTTATTAGAAATGGGAATTATTGCAGAATTGCTTACAAGTTAATTACTATAACATAATAAATAACGCTAAACAAAACATAAATTACATGATCTTACCTTGACAAGTTCCCTGTGCAAGTGTTTTCTGAAACCCCTCTGTATGATTGATGCAGCTTGGTTAAGTTTCCTCTGCCTCTTTCTGACGAGAAAACCTCTAACACCAGCTTGGAGTAATATTACCTCCTGCCTCATCCTCTGGTACACACGTCTAGTCCTGTAGCCTTTATAAGACGCCTGAATAGTCAGAGCTGCTCCTTTGAGGACCAAGAACTTCCTTCTATCTGATTGTGCTTGCCTACCGGTTCTGTAAGTTTCTTGACACACTAAGGCAGATTGTCTGAGTTTCTGATACAATATGCACTGTTTTCTTCCCCTGTACCATGACTGAATCCTTCCGGCACTTTCTTGCTTCAACACCATCAGTCTTCTAGTCTGTAAGCCTCTGTAGCATGATTGTATTGTGATAGCTGCTTGGCACAGGGCCAAATACTGATTTCTGGCAGCTCTTCCATTTAATTTGGCTCTATAGTGCCGTTGACAAAATTTGGTATATTTCTTTAAAGTTTGAAACTTCTGTACAGCCATGAATTTTCTGACAAGGGCCTGTATGTGGATAATGGACATTTTTCTTTGCTTTGCTTGTTTTCTAGCTATGCATCCTCTGGTAGCACTTTGAAGAATTATGACAGCTTGTCTCTTCCTCTGGTATTCTGCTTGAACTCTATCTCCTTGCAATTTATTTTTGAACCACCTTTGAATTGCACAGGCAGCCCTTTTTTGAATCAGAAATAGATCTCGGTGGATTTTCATGCGACGGAATGCCTGCAGTTTTATAATCGCCTGCCTTTTATGTCTGTAGTCTCTCTGCTGAAGATGCCTTCTGTATTGGGCCTGAATGCTGATAGCTGCACCCTTAGTAATCAAGAAATTCTCTCTTGCTCTTGCTACACACATTTTTTGACGGAATTGTCTCTGAATTTGAAGAACAGCACTTCTCAGTTTAGCATAATTTCTTTGACACAGAAACTTTCTTACTCCTGATTGTAACATGACAACTGCTGCCCTCTTCTTTAGGTATTGTTGACGCTCCGAGTACCCTCTAAAACAAGCTTGAATGGTAATGACAGCTCCTTTCAGGATAAGGTATTCCTTCTGTGTCTGTTTCATGTCCATGTAAGCTCTGAATCGTCTTTGTATAACACACGCTGCCTGCTTGATTCTCCTGTACTCCTTTTGGACTAGATGACGACGTATGAGGGACTGAAGTTTAATGACAGATGTTTTGGTTTTCCTGAATTCCTGTTGAGCGTGACACATTCTGTAAAATGCCTGGATGGTGACAGCTGCTCCCTTGACTATCATGAATTGCAGTCTTGCATCTTTCATCATCAGAGTTGCCCTCCATTTTCTCTGTATTGTACAAACTCTATCTCTAATATCTTTATACCTTTTCTTTTGTAAGTAAGTATGGACTGCTGATTGAAGTCTGACAACAGCAGAGCGCACATTAATAAACTGCTTTCTAGCCACATATGCCTTGTATCTTGCTTGTATGCATATAGCAGCTCCTTTCTGGAGAAGGAAACATCTTCTTTCTCTCCTTGCTCTTAAAGTTTCTCTGAATCTTCTCTGAATTGTCAGAGCTGCTGTCTTTTGGGACATGTACTTCTTTCTTTCCTGTGAGCCTCTGAAATGAGCCTGAATTTTGATGACGGAACCTATCAACGTTCTGAACCTTTTTCTTGCTTGGTAACCTCTGTAATATGCCTGTATAGTCAGTGCTGCTCCTTTACTGATCAGGAAGCTTTCCCTCTGAGCCATCCCTCTTCTATATTCTCTATACCTCTGCTGAATGATAACAGCTGCTCTCCTGTTAAGCATGTGATTCTTTCTTGACTTCCACATCCTGTAAGCTGACTGTATACAAATGACAGATTTTTTTATGACTCTGAATCTTTTTCTGGCAGCATGTGCTTTCCACTGTGATTGTATGGCAATTGCTGCATGATTTCTCTTCATAACTTTCATCCTCCAGTGTTTCTGAATTGTGCTGCAGGCTGATTTGACCTGTAGGAAAGATTTCCTGTGTAACCTTTTACAAAGAAGGGCTCTGTATCTTCTTTGCAAGATGACTGCAGCCTGGCATTTCTTCTCCTTTTCTTTCCTAAGCGTCCATGCTCTATAGGCAGTCTGAATAATCTTTGTACATTTTCTGAGTGTTAGATAATTCTTTCTTAAACAGTAGCCTCTCCAGTTCTTCTGAATAAGTTGGGCAGCTGCTTCTCGTTGCCGTACCACACCAATGGCTTTCCTGACTCTATATCCTCTGAAATAGGACTGAACTGTTAAAACTGATTGCTTAATTGTTTGATATTGTGTTAATTCTTGTTTCATAAGTTGTGTTGCACGCCACTTTCTTTGAATCTTGACGATGCTCTCTTTCAAAAGCTGGAACTTCTTTCTTTCCCCATAGCCTCTGACATGAGCCTGAATTTTGATGGCGGAACCCTTCAATGTTTTGAACCTTTTTCTTGCTTGGTAACCTCTATAATATGCCTGAATAGTCAGTGCTGCTCCTTTACTGATCAAGAAGTTTTCCCTCTGAGCCCTCCCTCTTCTATATTCTCTATACCTCTGCTGAATGATAACAGCTGCTTTCTTTTTTAGCATGTAATTCTTTCTTGACTTCCACATCCTGTAAGCAGACTGTATACAAATTACAGCTTTTTTAATGACTCTGAATCTTTTTCTGGCAGCATGTGCTTTCCACTGTGATTGTATGGTAATTGCTGCATGATTTCTCTTCATAACTTTCATCCTCCAATGTTTCTGAATTGTAAAGCAGGCTGATTTCACCTGTAGGAAAGATTTCCTGTGTAATCTTGAACAAAGAAGGGCTCTATATCTTCTTTGCAAAATGATGACAGCTTTGCATTTCTGCTCCTTTTCTCTTTTTTGCTTCCATGCCCTGTAAGCAGTCTGAATAGTTTTGGCACATTCTTTCTGTGTTAAATATTTCTTTCTTATGCAGTAGCCTCTCCAATACTTCTGAATAAGCTGGGCTGATGCTTCTCTTTGTCGTATGACAGCAATGGCTTTCCTGACTCTATATCCTCTGAAATAGGACTGAACTGCTAAAACTGATCCCTTTACAACTTGATATTGTGTAAATTCCTGTTTCATGTGCAGTGTTGCACGCCACTTTCTTTGAATCTTGACAATGCTCTCTTTCATAAGCTGGAACTTCTTGTGAGCAACAAGTCTACGGAAATTTTTCTGGAGTACAATCACAGCACAACGAGTCTGAAGGAACTGCTTTCTAACTTGATGGCCTTTAAAGTTTTCCTGTATTGTAATAGCTGCTGCTTTAAAAGCTAGAAATCTTTGTCTGATTTGCCTTCCCACCAGAATCTCTTTCCACCTTTGCTGAATTGCAACAACTGCCTTACGTTGACTCAGGTACAGTTTTCTAGCAGAATATGCTCTAAATGCTGCCTGTGTAGCCACCACTCCTCTCCTAAGTATTCTGTATTTCCTCAGAACCACAAAACCTCTCCAATATGACTGAAGTTTGGTCACTGTCTGAGATCGTTTTTCCATATGTCTCTTCCAGGCCTGCTGTATTACAATGGAGGACAACCTAATCTGAAGGAATGTGGCTCTTTGTCTTTTTGCCAGTTGATGGGCTCTGTATTTTTGTTGTAGGAATAATACTGCTTTTCGTTTCCTCAAGAACTCTTTCCTCAATTTCCATGCCTGGACTGCTCTCTGAATAACAGCTATGCTTGACTTTATCCCTTTGTACCAACACTTCACACAGTGAGCTCTCCAAGTTTTCTGTAGCACTATTGCTGCCTTTTCTTTTTTCAGCTTCCTCCTCTCCCTTAATTTTCTGACTGCTCTTTGAAGAGTAATTATGCTCTGTTTCTTATGTAAAAAATTATCTCTCAGTTGTTTGCTTTGCTTGGATAATAAGTACCAGTTTTCTATCAGTCTTACAGCAGACTTCTCCTTGGCTAACTGCTGCCTTACTAGAAATCCTCTGACAACACATTGGATCTTAATAGCACTTGCCTTCATCCTTACAAAGCGCTGTCTTTCTACACGAGTCAGCAAGAAATTCTACAATGCAACAGAAATAACATACTTATTAAACAGATTTTAATATTGAAATACATGCACAATAGCACTCAAAGTATACTTGTATAATTTGTATATTGAGGTATTGAATGATAATGCTCATTAGTCATCTGCATATCTACTCATAACAAAACAAAGATAGAGATAGAGGTAGAAACACAGTTAATCACCTTCAGTACTCTAGCAGCCCTCAATCGTTTTTCTACTAACATTTGGCATAGTTTTCTTCTTGCAAGATATCTTCTTACACATCGCTGAATAATAATGGCAGAGGTATGTTGTTTTCTTTGAAGCATCTTTTGTTGGTGAAATTTGAAAAATCTTTGGATTTTGATAGCTGCTTTCTCCTTGACCTAAAAAACCCAAAAATATAACTACAACAAGTTGCAAATGTCTCTAAAGCAAAAATATTACACTTCATTGTAATGTCCTAAAGCATATACAAAGAAAGGGTAAACCTATACAATGGGTCATCACTGCAATAAATCTACCAGTCCCTATAGCTTGATGCAATTTTTTAAAGTCCTTTATCATTACTATAAAACGTCAATTCTGCATAACATTGGAATGCATTCACATCATACACACGTAAATGTATGTGAAAATGCACTGTATCCTGACTGACCTTTAATTTGGCCCTGGCCTTGTGTAGGTATATAGATAACATACTGTATTATGACTGACCTGTAATTTGGCCCTGGCCCTGTTTAGGTAGTGTCGCCGCCAGGCTAGCTGTATAGTGCGGGCGGCACGGCATTCCTCCCTGATGTCCAGGAGGCGAGCACACAGGTAACTGACGTACGTCACCACGATCTTCTCATCAGGGATTGTGTTAGACATGTCAGCGGCTTTAATCATCATAGGAACACCACCTAACTCCGATACCTGTAGTGACAAAGGGAAGATATTATTCAAAAATGGCAAAATAAAGCCAAAATTCCTAACGTCATTGCTATTTCATCTTTGATTCCTTTAGCTTCTCCTGGCACTGTTCAAAAAACCTGAGTTATCTCTCTTGGAGAATATTTGTTCCTTGATCAGTACACTCCCAAAAAATACTATGGAGAATTTTAAAATTCAAGAGCGCAATCACTCTGTAATCTGAATCAAGGAAAGAATTATCATGTTTTCGAGCAGACTTTACATGTATGACAAGATCAATCAATTATTTCACATACCTTCTGGTGCAGAACTTTGAAATTTTCTCTTTCATTCTTCAGAAGATCTTTGAATACATCTTGGTCAGCTGAAACTGCTGAAAAATGCAATGAAATTTTGTTTTTAATACTATAAACTAGAGGTATGTTCAATTGTTAATCTGATGTTTACCTGACATGAGGGTAGGGCTGTCTGATAGACTACAGTCCAGTGTCTGATGTTTAACTGACATGGGGGCCGGGCTGTCTGGTGTTTACCTGACTTAGGGCGTGGCTGTCTGATGTTTACCTGACTTGGGGCGGGGCTGTCTGATGTTTACCTGACTTGGGGCGTGGCTGTCTGATGTTTACCTGACTTGGGGCGTGGCTGTCTGATGTTTACCTGACTTGGGGCGTGGCTGTCTGATGTTTACCTGACTTGGGGCGTGGCTGTCTGATGTTTACCTGACTTGGGGCGTGGCTGTCTGATGTTTACCTGACTTGGGGCGTGGCTGTCTGATGTTTACCTGACTTGGGGCGTGGCTGTCTGATGTTTACCTGACTTGGGGCGTGGCTGTCTGATGTTTACCTGACTTGGGGCGTGGCTGTCTGATGTTTACCTGACTTGGGGCGTGGCTGTCTGATGTTTACCTGACTTGGGGCGGGGCTGTCTGATGTTTACCTGACATGGGGGCGTGGCTGTCTGATGTTTACCTGACTTGGGGCGTGGCTGTCTGATGTTTACCTGACTTGGGGCGTGGCTGACTGATGTTTACCTGACTTGGGGCGGGGCTGTCTGATGTTTACCTGACATGGGGGTGGGGCTGTCTGATGTTTACCTGACATGGGGGTGGGGCTGTCTGATGTTTAACTGACATGGGGGCGGGGCTGTCTGATGTTTACCTGACATGGGGGCGGGGCTGTCTGATGTTTACCTGACATGGGGGCGGGGCTGTCTGATGTTTACCTGACATGGGGGTGGGGCTGTCTGATGTTTACCTGACATGGGGGCGGGGCTGTCTGATGTTTACCTGACATGGGGGCGGGGCTGTCTGATAAGCTACAGTCCAGTGTCTGATGTTTACCTGACATGGGGGCGGGGCTACTAAAGTTCAGTGTCGACATGGGGGTGAAGCTGTCTGATAAACTACAGTCAAGTGTCTGATGTTTACCTGACATGGGGGCGGGGCTGTCTGATGTTTACCTGACATGGGGGCAGGGCTGTCTGATGTTTACTGACATGGGGGCAGGGCTGTCTGATGTTTACCTGACATGGGGGTGGGGCTGTCTGATGTTTACCTGACATGGGGGCAGGACTGTCTGATAAACTACAGCCCTGTGTCTGATGTTTACCTGACATGGGGGCAAGGCTGTCTGATAAACTACAGTCTAGTGTCTGATGTTTACCTGACATGGGGGCGGGGCTGTCTGATGTTTACCTGACATGGGGGCGGGGCTGTCTGATAGACTACAGTCCAGTGTCTGATGCTCCGCCTCCTCCTGGTAAGTCATACTGGTCCTGGTGCTGATCAGAGTCTGAGGAAGGAGGTCTGGGTGATAGTGGTGTACAAGGAAGCATAAGGCCTGGCCATCACTGAACGAGACAGTGAAATTCTCTACCTGTAAAAAACAAGTGAAAAACAATCAAACAGAATGTATGAATTTCTGACCTTGACCTTGGACCTTAAAAAAATAGGGTTTTTTCTTAGGTTACAAAGAGCTTTGATGAAAAATTTCAATGCAAAAGCTACAGGGCTTTTTGAGACCTTAGGCTATATAAAATTGAAATTCTGTTTCTGGGGCCCGTGCACATTTGTTTTGAGGTAGCCGCATTGCTGATTTTATTGTATTTTTGATCAAATAAAAGGTTGGTATTGCAGAGACCAGTCCCCCCCCAAAAAATTTTCGTCCTCATTCTTTCCATAGTTTAGTATTCAACTATCACTTTCGGTAGCCATTTTCAAAGAGATTTTGACTATTTCGTTTGGAAATACATTCAAGGACATTGCCTACGATGTTCATATGCTGATAAGCAATGGATAAAGCATAACTTTTAATCAGACATGGAAAGTATATCTGTAATTTACAAAATTGTCTTTATTTTAAAGAAAATTTGAAAAATTTAAATTAAAAAAATGCCTCCCTCATCTACTTTATTGTCAATAAAATGATAAATAAAATGCCGTCCTCCTGCATCTGTTTGGAAGAAAATTGGCTTGAGAACCAGAGAATTAAATTTACCAGTAGATATCCTTATTGGTCTTGAAACAAAAGTGTTAAACACAGACAGTTTAAGAGATGGATGAACAGATGGAAAATGGCTGAATAGACCTAAGCTATTATCTCTTAATTATGTGAAAGCAAGGGACATAACCAGCACGATTACAATAAAAACTGTACTACGTAATACAGTGAAATCTAATTTTTCACTTTTTGTGAAAAAGAAAAACAAGATTTTTTTTTTAATTATATATAAATTCTGTCTTCTTTCTATTACTGTAAACCAACTTTTATTCGCTACAACTTTACTTCGCGATTTAACAGGGATAAACTGGTTCGCGGTGATTAATTTTCGCGATCAAGCCTTTTTCAAGCTGTTTTTAATAGACAAATATACTATAAGGACCGGTTCACGGCAAGTATAATTCGCAATAAAGAGGTTCTCGCAAACTTCGCAAAATTCTTGCACGCGAATAAAAGTTGGTTTACAGTATTTTTAATTCAAAGAATTTAATACCTTGAGTCCATAGAAAAGACAAACAGTTCTGCACCATTTCAGAAGCAAGGCTAGAAGTTCATTGTTTGAGTACAGATCATCACATGTGGATTCCCTTCTTTTCTGCTGCAAACCTGGAGTCAAATTTAAATAGCTTCATTCTGACAGTGCAAGAGCTCTGGGGCCATGATTAAAACAAACTTTAATTTACACTACCTCAGGATGCTTGCATATCACTTTATGACTAATCCTGAACTTTATTGGAGGAGATTTAGGAATTTTTTTCCCCCAATATCAAATCATGCAACCTCTGTCCCATGATATGAACAATTTTGAATCTGCACTACATGAGCATGCTTGGACATGGACTCCGTTAGTATAATTTTCCTGACAATCTGATTATAAACCCTTACCCATTTCGTAATTCTTTAGAGCCTGCAGGTGCTTGCGGAGCTGTAGAGATCTCTCCAAGGCAGATATTTCATCCTTCAGTTGATTTGCATTCAACATCAGACCAATCTAAATAAGACAATAAAGATATAGTTGCATCAAAGCAATAAAATTATTAAATGTATACTTTAGCACAATTGGAACTTACTCATCAGGTGACAATAATGTCACAGTTTGATGAAGATTGTAATTATTCTCATATTTATACAGCTTGCCACCAAAATTATGGCCCTGTTCCTCATCATCAGATTTTTGTCCTACTTATTCCAATGTTAAAACTTTGGTTGCAAACCAACGCCTCAACTGGGGGGTCATGATTCTAATAAAATTTAATTTACCTGACTTACCAGTTGGGATGGACTTCTAATTGAAACTAGAACTGTCCAATCGGGACAAAATACCCCCCGCTGGGTTTTTCAGAAGTAAGTTTTTGTATAATAAAGATATGTATCAAACACGAATTAAAAACTTTTTCTTCCAGTGACCTTGAACTTCCCCAAATGACCTTGGGTCAAGGTCATGACAAACCCTTGGGCCATGGGCAATCCTTGTGTAGATAAGAACCTACCAAGTTTATCCATAAGAAAGATATGGACCGGACACAAATTATTAAATTTTTCTACCAGTGACCTTGAACTTCCCCACATGACCTTGGGTCAAGGTCATGACACACCCTTGGGTCATGGGTAATCTTTGTATGAAATGAAAACCTACCAAGTTTATCCTTAAGAAGATATGGACCGGACACGAATTATTAAATTTTCTACCAGTGACCTTGAACTTCCCCAAATGACCTTGGGTCAAGGTCATGACACACCCTTGGGTCATGGGCAATCTTTATGTGAAATGAAAACCTACCAAGTTTATCCATAAGAAAGATATAGACCGTACACGAATTATGAAATTTTTCTTCCAGTGACCTTGAACTTCCCCAAATGACCTTGGGTCAAGGTCATGACACACCCTTGGGTCATGGGCAATCTTTGTGTGAAATGAGAACCTACCAAGCTTATCCATAAAAGATATGTGTCAAACATGAATTTTGAAATTTTTCTCCCAGTGACCTTGAACTTCCCCACATACCTTGGGTCAAGGTCATGACACACCCTTGGGTCATGGGCAATCTTTGTGTGAAATGAGAACCTACCAAGTTTATCCATAAGAAAGATATACCGGACACGAATTATGAAATTTTTCTTCCAGTGACCTTGAACTTCCCCAAATGACCTTGGGTCAAGGTCATGACACACCCTTAGGTTATGAGCAATCTTAATGTGGAGTAGTAGATTCTAATGTCCCTCTGTTAAAAGATATGGACCGGACACGATTGCACAGACAGACGGACAGACGGACAGACAGACAGACGGACAAGGTGATTCCTATATACCCCCCCAAACTTCGTTTGCGGGGGGTATAATAAAACTTACTTGGTATTTCAAAATGATCATCCACAGCAAATGAAGAGTCTTTTCCTTGTGACCATCCACAATGTCTCTGGAGCTGACCATTTTTACTGTAATTTATAGAAAAAAAAAAATGACCAATCAGCACCACTCCAACTGAAGAACATCAGGAAATATATTCCAGTCTATTGCTTGATCATGCATAAAATAAATGTATACTTCAACACATGATAATATTTATGAAGGGTGATTAAAATTCATTTTAAAATAGACAAACTGTTTGGAATTCATTAAAAATTGACCACATACCATAGAAAAAAATATAAATTTTACAAAATTGATTCTTTTAAAATTAAACAAAATATTTTAATAGCCAGTATCCAAAATTGCCACATTTAAACATTAGGGATTAAGAAATAAAAAGTTTCAATGGATCTTTTTCTGCTCATTTATCCAGAAAATGTAAAATTCAGCATTCGAACCCTATCTGGAATATAAACATGTACTAATATTGGATGCATCATCTATACAAGTCTGATCGCCAGGATCACTATACTTATAGTAACTACGAATAAACAACAAATATACCATCTTTCTCCATGTCAATACCAATGTCTTTAAGAATAGAGAAAGCCACGTCCATGTTGTGAATTTTCTGGAGACGACTGATGGCTGGTACCCTGAGCTTTCTCTTAAAAGGTGCTTTCTCTTCCAGCAAGTCCAGAATTCGTCTACAAGTAGGCATTCAAGGATATTATTGTCATATTTGTCTAATATTTATTTATTATCTAAAAAAATAATTCAAGGCACACAATAAACACTTTCAAAAACAGGTAAAAACAGCCAATATCAATCCAGAGATCTCAAAATTAGCCATTTTTAAGATCTGCCAGTGTTTGTAATAAGAGAATTATGAAATTAACACCATTTTATCATTGTTTATCATGCATATTAGATAGTATTAATATGAACTTTTTCAATATTGTTAGGGGTGTTCGAACAAAGCTTGCTTAATTTCCCAATTCCTCTAACAGATATATCTCTGATCATCTGTTTTGCTGAAAATCACCCAATGTGCTACACAATAAATGTCCTTACATCAGTCTCAGTCCATCCCTGAGATCCGTACTCAGGTTCTGAATGGCATAATCAAACTCATCTAAGGCAGTCTGGGTGTGACTAGTGAGGCATCCTAGGTATCCAAGATGTCGATTGATGTCTCCCTCCCCCGCCAAGAAGTGGCTAGAAAACTCCACCAGTAGGGCTTTACACGACTGGAAATAAAATTAAATCTGTTAAAATGTTTTGATACAGGAGCTGACTTGAGTCTATGGCTCAGGTGTGCCAACAAAAGAAATCAATCATAACACTGTACAGTAAAACTTGTTACTGGGACCTATGAACTTACTTTGTTATATCCTTAATTTGTTATAACCGTATAAGAAATTCATCAAAAAAATAACCAATATTTGCAAATCAAACTTTGAACAATCAAGTTCTTAAAAGCACTGAATATTTTCATAAGTAATGACGTCACAAACATGACGTAAATTTCAGTTTTTTATGAATTTTACAGAAAAATGTACATATTTCGTTGATATTTTGAGTAAAAGTCACCGAGCGCATGTGTGTTCAGGATCAATATTTTGATATAATGTGTAGAATGATAATATCAATGAAATATGTCAATATTGTTCCTGAACAAACTTGTGCTCTATAAATTTTGAAGCTAAAATTATTGAAATTTTGTACATTTTGTCCTCTTTCTGAAAAAGGATATAAAATCAGACTAGTTTTTGATGTCACAAACATGACGTAAATTTCAGTTTTTTATGAATTTTACAGAAAAATGTACATATTTCGTTGATATTTTGAGTGAAAGTCACCGAGCGCATGTGTGTTCAGGATCAATATTTTGATATAATGTGTAGAATGATAATATCAATGAAATATGTCAATATTGTTCCTGGTGCTCTATAAATTTTGAAGCTAAAATTATTGAAATTTTGTACATTTTGTCCTCTTTCTGAAAAAGGATATAAAATCAGACTAGTTTTTGATGTCACAAAAAAAAAAATTGTGAATACACTGCTTTCACACTATAATATTTTTTGTTAATTTATATTTCTCATACAATTTATTGAATTCAGCACATTTCAGGAAGTTTTCAAAATTTGACTTTTGTGGGGGCAAATATATGCAATATACCACATATAGTTCTTTGTATAGCTGGGGATTCAAAATGACTTCGCTATATCCTTGTATTTGCAATATGCGTGTTAGTACTAAACAAGTTCTACTGTAAAAGAAAATTGTCACTTCTATTTTTTTCCCTTTACTGAATCTAGCTTTACATATCCTTACTTTGAATTCAGAGTCCATACAGAACAGACAGGGGTCATGCTTGATTAACAGCTGACACTTAGCCTGATCCAGGAAATACACCAACAACAGGAACTTCTTCAGAAAGTGCTGAGCTATAGCCCCCGAGTAGCCTAAAAGAAATTCAACATTAAGGATAGGAATGAATGATTTTTTAAAAACTTTAAATCACTACTATTGCACACATATGCAATGGTGTCCACATTTTGTACAACTTGAAGCTTCAAAAATTATAAACATAAATTCAGAACAATCTACACAAAAGTCAAAAATTTTTACAGGTTTTAACATGTATGAGTGCTGTTAAATCACCGGACAAAGCATTTACTTATCATGCTTTCTTTTAAATTGATAAATTACATACAAATATATTGATATTGAGATATGGGGGGGGGAATGTTACCTTCTTTGTAGAGGTGTGGGACTGATGGATGGGCAAACTGACAGGCTATGTCAGGATTTCCTAGAACTCTTGTGATGATGAAGTGAGAAAGACCAACCACATCACCATTATCTTTGACGCTGATTATCTCTCCAAATACAGTCTGGAATTTTTTGATCGTAAATACTTTTAAATGTTCAAATGTATAGTCATCATGTACTTTATGAAAATACATACTAATCATTACAAAACTTTAGCTATTTCAACTCAGAACCAAGAAATGGACATACCTCTAATCCAATTCTCAGCCATAAAGGATTGAAAGACAACAGTAGATCTAAAATAGACTGTCTCAGGCCTGAAATCAAATACATTAAAAAAATTTCATAACTTTAAAATGTTTTCGTGATAAAATATAGTGTTATCCATTTCATTTTCCACTGAAATCTTCTTTTTATAATTTCTGCTTTTACTCAAATACTTTAAATAAAACATTTCTTAAACATGTTAAAATATGTTAAAGTACACTTCAGAATATATAATTTTAAATCTTTGCATAGTGGTATATGGTGATACCTATACAGGTTTAAGAGAGTAAATCCTGCATTTGCACTAATATACTCTGTTACTGGATGTAATAAAAAAAAAGACAGAATGAGAAGCAGAAGTGTATACCTAGATCCGCCTGAATCTTGCGGTCTTTTCTGATCATCAAGCGGTGACTCTCTACCTCCATCTCCAGTTTTCTGACCACCGTTGTCACCGCCTCAGACTGGAATAGCTTACAGGCAGATCGTCGCAGGCCGTTTAATTTACGACTGGCGGAATACTCTTTGAAGGACAGCGCTTCTTTGGTTGGTGCCAGTTTCTGGGGTCCAGTTTTGTAAAAATCTAGCTTGGAAGCATCAACTAAGGAGAGAGTAAAATAAAAGAAAATATGTGAATGATGAAGCTTGCCTTATAATAAAATTGTACCTTATTAAACTATCAAAGATTATTATGCTTCCTGTCAGTTTGTCTCTATATAACCCATATATAGTGGTCTAAGGATTTATATAGCGTAAACTATGCCGAAAGGATAAAATTCTTCCATGCACATAATTATTGTCATCCGATGCCTTATCGATTACGCCATAGAGACGATCACTGATTGATATTATTTTATTAAATATATAAACTTAATTTATACAATTGACACAAGAAGGAGAAAATAGACAAATATTATTTGAAAACAGTTATATTATTCTAAGGAACTTTAGATTAATGTGTACAACAAACTTTCAAACTAATTACATACAGATCGTTAGATGAACTGATTTTATAGGGTCATTAAAACGCTTTTTTATATGACGCTTGATTGAAGGATGTAAAAGAAAATTATCAATGATACTCTGCAAACAAATAAGGCTTACGAACAAAACAGAAAATAAAGATGTGTTTTTAATTTTAAAAATAACTAAGCATGCAAACAATTTTAGCATGAATATTTTGAATTAGTTCTTGCAGGTGCGCTGTTTAAGCACCGATATTTTCAGGAAAAAGTCAAATAGATTGCCGCATAAATAATTACAACAGTCAGCATAATAATAACAATAGTGTTGCATTATGCATGTACTATGCCTAAATAGTAGGCAGGGTTTGACACATAGTGCACTCGCCTCCGGCTCGTGCACCAAGTGTCAAACCCTGCCTACTATTTAGGCATAGTACATGCATAATGCAACACTATTATATAAATAGTAGGCAGGGTTTGACACATAGTGCACTCGCCTCCGGCTCGTGCACCATTTGTCAAACCCTGCCTACTATTTAGGCATTAATGCAACACTATTATATAAATATGCTATAGTATTTATATCTTACTATAATAATATCTGTGATATATGCAAGCAATTGAACATGTTAGAAAAAACTCTTTGATCCTATCCAAAGCTTTTAAAAAATTTTAGGAGGCAGGTGGACTTCATTTTAAATTTTCTTTATTGTGTAGATAGTTTTGATGTTCCGTGTTGTCAGATCAGTATTTATCAAGCCTAAGCCATTAAACATGTTGAAGAAATTTTAAGTAATTGTTCTATATTTACCTTTACATTTAGTGTTGTTTCCCATTTCAGTGGACGGTGTTAAAATAAAATTCAGCCAATGAGAAAATCCACGTTCTTGCTTTTCCATCCATCTCTCATCATAGTAAATATTTTTGGATGCAAATGGTAATGGATGTTTTGGCAAGGCTGAAAAAATCATTTATCAATTGATTGAGTAACGCAGAGAATTATCAATTATGGTCCCAACTTTCTGCATCTTAGTGAGTGGCAGCCATTGGGTGGGACGTAAATTATTTATGGCACATTATACCTGTCTTGTCTGTGTGTCCTGTCTAAATATTTGTCCATCATTCAAAAATGATAAAAGTGTCTGTTTAAACATGTTCAAGTTCCTCAAAACTGCATCAAACTTCAAGATCAAGGTCATGAAGTTAAAATTATTAGGAAAATCTAAAAGGTTTCATCACAAAAATATGAAAGCCCTGTCTCCTAAAGAGAAAAATTTTCTATTTTAGATAAGTAGATCAAACATCTAAGATCATGAAGTTGAATAATTATAATTTTTCTTTCTGAAATGTGGTGTCAAAGGTAATTGTATTACATTGGTAATTTGTTGATCTTTTCTCATTCACAAGTAATTTCCAATGATTACAGATTAACATTTTGAAGAGGACTGCAGGTTAAACATTAAGGTCAAGGTAACTAGGTCAGGTATTTATTACATGTTATGATGTGTACCTGTTTTTGTCCTTTTCATTAGTATGAGCTTTGACTTTGCAGTCCTAGCTGTTTTAGGTTTAGCAGTTTGTCTTTGAACTGGAGCTGAAGAGGATAAAATATTTCTCTTTAATTGGCAATGCATAATTAGCGATTATCTTTCAATTTTCATATCACATGTTGTTCATTTTACATGTTTTATCAGAAAACTTAGTACAGTAAAATTTGTCTAATCCGGACTCTGAGTACTCCGGATTTTTGTCCATTCCGTCTAATAATTTTAGTCCCATACACTTCTTTAACAAATTCATTAGAAAAAATTCTGTGTAGTCCGGATACTGTCTATTCTGTATTCCGAACGGCCATACTGGTCCCAACTGCTCATAAATAACGGTAATTATTTCCTCTAATCCGGCCCCACATAATAACCTGAGTAACTTCAAGCAATTAACACCTTTCGTGGTGGATATGATAATCTGTGTTTACATTAAAATGATTAGTGCCATGAGACGAACTCATTGAAATGTGGTGAAATGTGGTGGTGACACGCCCACTTGAAAAAAATATTAGGCCTATATTATTAAATTACAATTTGGTATAATTCCTTTTACCACCTAATTATATAAACACAAAATATAGATGTATGCGATTTACAAATCAAAATATAAATCGGGATCGAAAATCGAACGCATTTCAAAATGGCGCCATAACACTGTGTGGGAAGACAACCATTTTTCACATAAAAATTAAAAGTTCAATGTTTCGTAAATAATTGTGCATTACTGTACTGTGCTTGATATATAGTAAGCCTATATTATGCGTGCCTGTAGGTTTTGATTTTATAAGATAGCATTTCAACCGACTTTCAAACTTCGTGAACAAACAAAAAATATACAGTAAGTCATGCGAGAATATTTTATAATTTCTAGACTCCAAAATATTGATTGATTTCATCATTTAACTGTATTTATATTATGTATATGATGTTCTTGTAAATAAACAACGAAAATTTTCAAAATTAATATTTTCCTGCATTTTTCCTGTACTCCGGATTCTGTCTAAACCGGCCAAATTTTATGGAACCGGCGGTAGCCGGTTTGGACAAATTATACTGTACTTGTAAGGCAAAATGGTAACAGTATTTACAAAATTTAACTAGATGAACCTACTAACCTGTTACTTTTGGCTGTTTCATACCAGCTTCATCAGTCTTACGCTTCTGAGAAACCTGTCCCCTCTTAGATATCTCTTGCTGCTTTATTACTTTGGATTTTTCACTCTGGTTTTCAAAGACACCTACACCCTTGGCTTTCTTTAACTTGCTTTCCTTCAACAATCCCTGTTTCAAAGGTACAAGATTGGCATCCCTGCTAACACAACTTTCGGTGACAGTTTTTCACTTTGTCCTGTACAGTTGTCTGGTTTTAAGCATGTCTTGTCATTGTCATCTTTTTCAGCAATCTCTTTTACTTCAGACACTTTCAGAACATTTTCTTCACATGACTGCTCATTACTGTCCATAGATTTAGATGGATCATTAATACAGTCAGATAAAGTTGAAATTGTTTCAAGTCTAGAGCATTGATCAACTTCTGAACTCCTATCATCTTCTTCTTTATCTTCAACAGAAAATACTTGTTCTTTTAATGGTGATTTACCACAAACATTATCTGTATCAGGGCTCATCTGTCTTGGTGGAATATTTTCTTTATCCTCCAACTCTTCATCATCTTCATTGTCAAGCCCGTCAAGTGGAGGGAAAAGTCGCTTTTTCTCCATATGACTAGAGTTAAGTACCCTGGGATTGTGAATGATATGGGTGGATCGTCTAGACAGGTCAGGGTTGGGACTAGTTGGTAGAGGCGTGCAATTGAAGCTTCCCTCTGAAATCTCACTGATACAAGGAGAGTCTGAATTCCTCTGACCGTTCTCTCCTGATGGAGTGAATAAGCCAGATGGTTGTACCTCCAGTTGTGTCAATACTGACTCTTCTTTTAAGTTTGTTTCTGATCCTGCATGTGCTTGTTGCAGAGGAGTGTCTGGTAAATATGTGAGAGATCCTTTGTCTGAGGTGTAACTGTCTAGGAAGAAAGTCTGTTTAGAACATGGTGTGTCAACACCTGTCTCCTTTGGACCCATTTTCTGAAGACTCTGTTCTGGTGTTAACAAAGTCAGACTTCTGTAATGATGAGACAGTGGGGTTTTTGCATTACTTTCTTTCCTTCCATCCATAAGGATTCTCTCAGGAGTGGGAAGCACTAAATTTGATGGTTCATTTCCTGGCAACCTGTTAGGATTTTTGGACTTTTCCAGTATTTCTGGTGTTAAACAAATACTGTCTGGTATGTCAAAAGCATGTCTTTCCTTTACCATTCTCTCTGGTGTTGGTTCAATAAGAGGGCTTTTTCCAACATTTTCAGTGAGGTGCAATGAGCTTTTATTTTTCCAAACTCCTCTTGGGGTAAAACCTCCACTTCTTCTCCTTTTGGGGGCCTTTCCTCTACCCTGCAATGGTTGCTCAACATTCCTCTCATGTCCATCTTTTGAGTGATTGACAGTGGTTTTGTCATGAGCAACCCTCCTCTGCATAACTTTGGTCATTGTTTTACGAGGGGAATGTTTTCTCTTGACTGTATAAGTGGTTCTGCGAGGACTGCTTCCCTCTGGAATGATACTAAATGGATTACTGGGTTGGTTAGAAGTAACAAATGTTAATGCTCTTTCCTCGATTGTTTTGGACATAGAAACCTCTTTTGATCCATTCAAACATAAACTGTTTGACATTTTCCATTTCAGATTTGTCTTCACAAATTCCAGTTGGCTAAGCATTACTTCATGAGGTACTGATTTATTTAGTACATCGTCTACACTGTTAGAATGGTCCTGGTCTAAGTTTACTGACAAATTCTCTTTGGTTTCATTCAAATCTTGTAAAAATGTGTTCGGGCTAATATACCCCTTAGTTGCTGTTATTGTTGAGGGGGTATCAGTACAGTTCTCTGAAAATCCACTTTCCCCATTACCAACTCCTTGCATACTTGATTTCTTCAGAAAAGTGTCAGGAGAAATGACATTGGTACAAGTCTCTGCAGCTACAGTTTTCTGATGGCCAGAAGACTCTTGTAAAAATGTGTTCGGACTAATATACCCCTTAGATGCTGTTATTGTTGAGGGAGTATCAGTACAATTCTCTAACAATCCACTCTCCCCATTACCAACTGCTAACCCACTTGAATTCTTCAGAAATGTGTCAGGGGAAATGACATTGGTACAAGTCTCTTCAACAATGGTTTGCTGATGGTCAGAAGACTGATCATCAACATAACTCCTCTGTTCTCCGTTTCCACTATTAGTCGCTGGTGTTTTACCCTGGTTCTCTTTGTTTTCATCAGTGTCTTTGTCTACACCTAATGCTATACTTTCCTGTGACCTTTCCTGTGACTTGTCCTGCTTTTCTCCTTGGTCTGATGAGTTGTAGGTGTTTGACCTCCGATGATTTCTCTTGCCAGACTTTTCTCTCTTGATAGAGACGTTTCCTGATGTTTGCAGTCTGTTTTCATCTTTTCTTAAACTTTTCACACGGGCTGAATCCTTTTCAGACTTATCTGGACTGTAGGATTTGGCAATGTTTGCCAAACTTTGTGTGTAGACCACTGACAGGGGTCTTTTGACCTTTTGATTCAGGAGACCTTTTCTTGTCTGAAAGGGAAAAAAAGTAAATTAAGTTCATGGACTTGAGCATGATGAGTGAGGCAAAGCAGTCAGGTTGTCTGATTGCCCACTGCAAATAAATTCATATAAGTGAAACTGTCAGTGAACTTGCACAGGCAAGCCACAGTGTAATGGGCAAGTGAATATTTGATAGAAACTTGATCTTACTGGAGTGGTATATTGGTTCGTAAATGTCTTAATTATCAATGGCTTTAATGCAATAAAAATTGAACACTTATTCGTTAGCCCAAATTGAGATGGAAAAATTTCAAGCCTTTTATCACAACTACCTGTACTATTAGCTGCAGCTCTGTAGCTGGCTGGTCTGAAAAAAATTGGGAAGGATGACCAGAGAGCTGCAGTGCCACCCACAGCAAAAGGTCATACTGTATATTTATTGCACACAAAAAATTGTGTTGGGATCTGGATTAATTTCTCCAAATTCTTACCTCAATTGCAAAAAAGATAAATAAAAAAAAAATTACTCCTCTATCAACTACTAGTACTCTTGTGGTTGACATCTGCAAGAAGTGCGTTGGCCAAATTATTTTGCAAACCAAAATGGCAGTGTTAATGCCGTATAAATGGAAATTTTAGCCAGATGCAAATTTAGCAATTAAAAAAATAGTATTTTATTTTTTAATTATCTTAAAATATACACTTTTAGAAGTTATTACAAATAAACCACAAATAAATAATTTTTAGCGATATTAAACTTTAGCAATCTCAGCACCCTCGCTAATAATGCCAAAATTAATTCCTTGCTAAAAGTTCTGCTTGCACTTTTTTGATGGACTCAATTTCAGGACAAGAAGGGCTATTAACAACAGTTATAAGGAATGTTTTGTTGTGTAAATGGTGAAAAAATATCTCTTAAGGAAGTAAGGAACACAAATAGTTAGTAGTATGTTGAGATTGCAGTTTTCAAAACTTGGAAAAATAAATCAAGAAACAGCACACTTTTTTGTTAGTAAGAATAATCTTACTTTGTCTCGGGTCAAGCCCCCACCCCAGTCATCGTTAATTAAACCGGGTCCGTAGATAGAACATTCTAACTTTTTGTGCGCAATATGTACACTTTTTTTAATGAGTGGCACTGTAGCTCTCTGGTCTATCAATGTTTTTTTCGGAAAGCTAGTAGATACATGTAGTTCTATCGTTAAAATGATAAATGTCCTACAGCCCTGTTTGACAATAACTGTGGTAAGGGCCTGTCCCGAGACACAGATTATTCCAACACTAGAGAGCTACATTCTGCAGCTTATAATTAACTATACATTAAGAATATATTATTACCACAATCTTTTTCTTTTGGGGTTTTTGACAGGTTCCAAAAACAAATGCTTGAAGTCTGTAAGCATTATCTATAGAGAACTGTATCATTTCCCTGAAGTTGCCTTCATTTTCTGGATTGAATGAAATTTCGAGATGATGTATGCTTTCTCCATCGACAGTAAATTCTGTAGAATCAAAGGAAAAAATGTTCTTGTGTGGAACACGTTCTATTTTCACGCTCTGTGGATAATCATGAGGATTTTTAACAATCAATGTCCTCTGTTTTGGAATTCCAAGTTTGCATGTTCCGAATCCAATTTTTGGAGAAGTTGTGAAATGAGTCAGAACCAGTGTTTCAACTTCAACATCACTTTTTCTTCTGGAATCATGTTTTTCCTTACTTTCAACAGCAATGCTGTATGTAATTCCCGAGGGTTTTTCAAACCATGATCGTCGACCCGATTTTCTGTCACTCGATAAACTTGATGGTTTCGGTGTCGATGTGGCCAGCGAGCTCAAAGACGCTGGATCAAAGTCAAGACTGTCATTCATATTTAGAATTTGTCCATCCAAAGCTATCTTCTGTCATGTTTGCAGCATCTTGCGTCGAAATATTTAGCTTACGCCTAGTATTTATCGGTGTGTTTATGTCATGACTTTGAATCTCGAGCCTTTTCAAAATTAGCCAATCAACGTCTGTAAATATAAAGTACTCGATACTACGGGACGGGCGGCGGTAAATCTAGTACTCTGGATTCCTAATTCTCCCATTTCTTATACAACTGAACCTAGAAGAGCTTCACGCTTCATTGTCAGATATATTTTTTATTGTTTGAAAAATATGAATAAAATATGTTTAAAGATGCTGAGAATATATATAAAAAAAAAATCGGGAGTAATTATTGCGAGTTGTACCACTTGCCAATGTATGGTGCGTCGAATTTACATTAGCGTAGGAAGCAAATTGAAAGGGGAGGGGATAATTAAATGTAAGAATTTTTTTAGACCTTCAAAAATACATGAGAAGCAAAAATGAAAATATGTCCATTGCCCACACACGAAAATCCTATTTCATGGAGGTGGGAGGGGGTGTTCGGACTTCCTTCAGTACCAATTTTTTTCCAAACACCACCACCTCCCTTATTTTTTACCTGTATACTGCAACCTGTCTGTGGAAAGTGGGGGGGGGAGGGAAATATGTAAATAAAGATTTATTTCTAAACATACACTGCAATGTTTAACGCCTATACCAAATCTATGTTTCAGGCACGTAGTATCAGGGGGGGCCAGGGGGGGCCAGGGGGGGGCCTGGCCCCCCCACTTTTTCTCCCGACATTACCTTTACTATAGAAAATGTTTACTGAAAGGAAGGTTGGCCCCCCCACATTTCAGCACAGTGTAGTGTTATAAAGAAAATTTACCTCCAAAAAGTTTGAATTGAAAGGTAGTTGGTCTTGAAAAAAGTTGGGCACTACCCCCCCACCCCCCACCCCCCCACGAAATGGGATTTTCGACTTTGGGCAACTTTTAATTTTTCCTTTTTTTTTTTTTTTTTTTTTTAGCTTGTCAACTTTTTCAGGTAAGTAAAAAAAAAATTTCTCAGGTTGGCCCCCCCACTTTCAAAAACGATGCTACGTGCCTGTGTTTGGAAAAAAATGTTTGGGGGGGGGGGGGGAGGGGTGAAGTAGTGCACACACTATCACACACACCCGACCCCCACCCTATACGCCTATGATTTACCCAAAAAAACTTTATTCAGACAGAAAAAGAAAAAAAAAGCCGAAAGAAATATAGAATCTGAGGAGACTCAAAAGACTCACAATAGACGCGGAGGTGGAGGGGGATCTGTCTTTTTTTGAACTTTTTTTTTTTGGAAAAAGGGAATTACTACAGATATTTTATAAGATATGACAAAATGGACAAATATTTTAGATTTTTGTAGCCATTTATTTTTATTAAAGTTATGAATATTTTCTTTTTCTTTTTCAGATTTAATAAGAGGAGAGGACAGCATTTTTGGGTGTACATACAGTCATTGAATTAATTGTGTTTATTTATATAAAAAGAGGTATCTCTTATAATTATCAAATAAAGCATAGATATAAGGTGATATTTCAGCAAGAATATAATTATTAAAAAAAATCTAAGCATAAATTAATTTAACTTTTACATAGAATTGCATGTCAATCGAAGCACCCCCCTCCCCAGACACAAAAATATTAGTATTTTTACCCAATGACAGTGCTCAACGTACATCTACTCCAGCTTTATATTTGTAAAAAGATCGACTTTAAAAAAAATCTTGCTCAGCCGAAATGAATGTGATTTCCTTATATGCAGCTTAAATGCTTTCTTTTTGATATACACTTGTCAAGGTTATTTTATTATTGAAATTTTTACCCCATATATCTTGTAAATGGAATATATTTTTTACTAACCAGTTTCTGTAAGAATTTCTCTGAGCATGGGTGTAATGTTTTGTTTTACAGATAATAAAAGTAATGCAGTGGATTCATAGATATCATGCAGCGTACTACTTTTACACCCACCCTGTGATTAAATCCCAGTCCAATGTTCTGCTGATTGCATAACACAAACCTGACAGAACAAGTTTGTTTTCAAAAAAGACAAAATTGTTAATTCCATTATCCATAAAATTAATTTTTGTCAAAACATATTTCTAGAGAGACCTTTTATGCTAACAATGATTATCTTTTTACAAGTTGTTAAAAGACGTAAAAGTCAGCCATCAGAGGCGTTAAAATTAGAAAGTCCTCCAATTTTCAAACCGAAAGTAGATTTTTTAAAACATGTTAAAACCGATTACTTTATAAATTATCAGAGTTTAAAACTTCTTAGAAAAATATTGGTTATCAGATCAGAGTTTTTAGTTTGAAAAAATTGTTTGACGGTTGACCAGATGTGTAGACGTCATGTCGTTTGTAATGCGGGGGGGGGGAAGTATGGTATTTGTAATAAGTAGAAATACATTTGTATATATACACACTCTCTTAAATTGTTGACTCTGTAAAAACACGAAACGTACACTGGTTTTGTCAAATACACCAACTTGTTTTTGAAAAAAAAAAATTATCACTGAAGGTAAAAAAAAAAAACAATTTACATGATTTAGGGCCTGGTACCACTGGTGCTTGTTTCTTTCATAAAATTCAATAATAAAAAGTTCATACAGATTACAGTATGTAATCAATTTTCAATAAAATGTAATATAATAACAATTTTTAACATTTTGTTTACACGTAGAAAACAAGTGTACTGTATACAAACTTCAAAAGTGTTTGTGAATTAAACACATAAAGAACACTGTAGAAGATAAATTTTTATTTTGATAAAATTTTTGGCATCTTAAACTGAATTTAATTCAAAGTCAACAAAAAACATACCTTTTTTTCTTATTGAAACCAATTTAAACATGTTAAATGTAATAATTAAAGATTTAATTGATATTCTTTACTTACTCCTGTACAATCCTTGGGAAGCATACGGTCGCAACCACACTGCCAAAGCAAACTCTATTTTGGGCTATGCTTTTTAATTGGGTTGACCCAGGTAAAACCTGTTTCTATTGCATCCGTTTCTTATGACCCAGGGGGTCTTTCAGCCCCCCCCCTTCCACCTTTCATTGTGGATTCCAATCCAGGGCCTTGTTGTTTTGTGATGTTGATTGAGGATTTGCACTAGGTATCCCCTATCCAGCCCTATTTTCCCTTCTTTACGTCAACATATATGGGATTTTGGTTGGTTCTCTCCCATAGACTGTTGTTTGATATGGTATAAAGCCATCTGATGTTAAGGATATGGTGGAGAGAGACATTTGTTGATAAAAGACTGTAGTTTGAAGTTAATTAAATAACAATCCTTTTTTTAATGATAGTTTTTTGAACAATGGCGGAGCAGGGAGACCCGTTTGACCTCTCTGACACAGATAGTGAAGCTGAGGAGGTAGAAGAAGTCGACAAGAAGACGTCAGTATGTAAACGACAGATTGTGGCCGCCATCGATTTTGGCACAGCTTACTCAGGCTACGCATATTCGTTCAAGCATGATTGGACTAAAATTATTACACAACACTGGCATGGTGGGGAGTATTTAACACACAAGGCACCAACTTCACTTCTTCTGAAGCCCGACGGTTCATTCTTTAAGTTTGGGTTTGAAGCAGAAAATGAATATGCTAGACTGTCTGAAGATGATAACCATAAGGACCATTATTTCTTCCGTAGATTTAAGCTGATTTTAAAGTCAAAGTTAACAGAGGTAAGAGAAGATTCAAGATGTGTTTCTCTCAAACTGAACTTTAAAACAAAACAAATTCAGAATCACTCCTATAAAATGTTCATTTGTTTGTTCCTTTTCAAGATTTTTTTATAAGTAAAATTTTTCTTCAATTATTTTGGTATATTTTTTGGGGGAAAATTGGAATTTGAAAAAGACACTGTGGAAAAAAAATTAACCAATTATTAACCTTTGAGTAATAGACATTTATGTCATTTTCACAGTTATCTCTCTGTCAGAGTATCAATGAACTTTCTTTTGTACCAGAAATTTGGTCTTGTGACCTGGCCCTTTTCTTGTTAATTCAGTGGTAATTTTTTAAGAATAATTTTCGAATAAAATTTTTAAATACCGTATATACTCGTAAAAATATTTGACATTTGGGTTTGGCCCACTTCTAAAAAACTGTTACCATGTTAACTTTTGCTGTAATAAGCTTATATTTCAGATGAATATTCCTTATAATACCCTTCAATCTTAGACCTATAAGTTAACACATGCATTTTGAGAAATATTAACTCTTGCCAAAAAACCGACTTATAGGCGACATATACAAAGACATTTCTATATCATTGAATGTATATATATATAATGTTAAACCTTTTTCTAGAGAGTACATGCAACAGTTTGTGTTGAGACAAATTTTGTGTCTGCAGATTTTCACTTATTGCATCCAGTATCTGAAAGACCACATGCTGGAAAATATAAACAAAAAAATCACTGGCCAAATTAAAGTGAGTGACATTGATTTTGTCATCACCGTGCCAGCAATATGGGACGACACAGCCAAGATGTTTATGATAGCCGCTGCCCAAACGGTAGGTCTTTAGCTCTATTGGTCAAAAACCAGAAAAGCTTTTAGTGAGGCCTATATATATTATTTGTTTGCAGAGAGTACATGAAAATGAAAAACTTTTTATTTTAGCCATTTTGTATTTTTTTTTCCAATATTGTCAGGATACAGTATTGAAAGTGTTTCATTGTCAATTTTTGTCTTTATCAATTTAGTAGTTTATACCAAGAGACCTTATTCTGGAGAGTATAAACCTATGAAAAAATTTTAATATGTGAAATCAAAAATGAAAACAATTTTTTTTGTCATCCTACTGTGCCAAAAATTATAGGTTGGCAACTGCAAAGATGTTCATGATAGCAGCTGCCCAAAACATTTTTCAAAATGACTAAAGATACATGTTTTTATGATATTAATTTTTTTTTTGATCTATTGCCCTGGTTACAGTATTACTAAAAATAGAAATTTCTTTGAAATACTTTCAAAATGTTAGTCTGATTTCAAAATAACTTGGCACACAAGTAGACTACACTAACATGCTAAGATACATAATTCTGTGTATGATCTCAGAAAGTGGGAAAAAACAAAAAAAAAAAATAAAATAAAATACCTTGATATAAGTTAATAGATATATTGATACTGAAGTTTTTATGCACAGAAGATTCTGTTTATTGATATAAAATTGCTACATGTATATTGTGTTTTCAAATTGATAAATTTCTTGGTTCTCAATTGGAATATTAATATATTTGAAATGTATTATGTGTATTTCATAACAGACAGGTATAGAAAAGGAACAGCTGAAAATTGCCCTGGAGTCAGAGGCTGCCTCCATTTATTGTCAGTACATGCACCTGGAAGGGGACAAAGCTCCAGAGAAGGCTGGGTTTAAGGATAAACTGACAGCGGGCTTTAAGTACATGCTGATAGATCTTGGAGGTAAATGTTTAACATTCTATTTTTTCATTTTATTTGTTATATAATATGATCTGTATGTACCTCAGCCCAGTTGAATGTCCCCGTCTCACCATTCCTCATTATAAGCCTGTATCAGGGGTAGACAAATAGAATTTTTCAGTACTTGCCCTTGTGTGTCGTTAAACTACTTGTCCTCTCTCTTGTCCCACTTTCTTTCTTAAATTACACAGAATTGAAGCATTGATATTAAATTATCATGATTATTTCTTGAGTGAGACACCTAAACAATACACGAAGACCATCATAGATCTAAAATTATGAAATTCTTCCACAGATAAATTTACATGTAGAGGAAAATGTTTAATTTTAAGGAGTATTCTTCCTCAAAATTCTGCAATAAAATACACTTTAAAAAAAAAAACAATGTTGTATTTATTTAATAGAAAAAAGTGAAGATATCGGACACTGATCAATCTCATAACACCTAAAAACAAAAAGAGTCTGGGAACATGGTGAACAGAACACTACTGCATACTGTGTGATTGCCAGAGAACAGCAATCAACAATTTTAATACCACTAGCCTCACCTCTGTATACACAGTATGAATTTAATATTTTGACAATAAATGTCTAAATTCCCATACCCGTTTTTGACGACATAAATAACTCCATGTTTTACGTCAACAGCAGTGAAAACAGATGTTTTTCAGAATTTGCTGTGATTCATGATACTTTAAAAGCGATAACATAAAAAAGATATTTGAGTATTGAACATAATTTTTTTTTTTGTTAATTGGAAAACAACTTGTCCGCGGGCAGGCACCTGTTATCAAATTACTTGCCCACCAACCAAAACTGGTTGTCTCGGGCGTCGGGCAGTGCTATTTGTCTAGCCCTGCCTGTATACAGATTTGATTTCATAAATCATTAGAATAGCAAAAAAAAAAAACCAATATTTTGTGTATAGAAATCTAGTAGATGTAGATGCAAGGAAAAAGAAAATCCCTAACCTTCAAAAATGATTCACAGTTGCCAAGTATTTCCCCCAAACTTCTATTTTTAAAACTATAGTCATTTGAAATGAAAAAAGGGTTTCAAGCCCAAATATACATTTTAACAAATAAAATGTGCTTTACACATGCATTTGAGTAAAATAAATAAATATGGGATAACTACATAATATTATATTCTTTGATTTATTTTAAATTTTATTTTTTTAATTTTAAGGTGGCACTGCCGATATCTCTGTTCATGAGAGAGCACCAGACGGAGGATTGAAGCAGGTCATTGTGCCGAGTGGAATAAGCTGGGGTGGAACCAAGGTGGATGACGCATACCTTCAATTCTTCTGTGATCTCTTTGGAAAAGAAAGCATGGACACATTCAAAGAAGAATGCATGGAGGATTACTTAGATTTATTCAGAAAATTTGAAGTTCAGAAAAGATCTGGACCTACGGCAACATCTGACAGTATTTACATCAGAATTCCACTTTCACTCTCTGAAATTCTTGATGAGAAAGATGGAATGGCCAAAGCTATTGAATCATCAAAATACAAAGACATTATTTCTTTTGACAAGAAAACTTTGAAATGCAAGGTTCCATATTCAGAGTTTGAAAATCTGTTCAAGGAAACCTGTGATAATATTAAAAGTCATCTTGATGGATTGTTGAAAAAACCTGAGTTGGCTGACGTTGAAACAGTTCTGTTGGTTGGTGGCTTCTCCGAATGCTACATCATTCAGGAAATGATCAAGAAAGAGATGAAAGACAAACATCTAATTTTACCAGAAGAGCCCAGTCTAGCAGTACTGAAAGGTGCTGTTTACATGGGTCATGTACCAGATGCAGTAACCACTCATATTTCAAATTATTCCTATGGGGTCCAAAACTGGCCAGACTTTGATCCTTCAAAGCATCCAGAGGAGAAAAAAATAAGAGTTGGAAACCAAGACAGATGTCGTGATGTTTTCATGAAGTTCGTCACAAGAGGAGACAAAATCAAACCAGGGCATCGCAAATGTTACATCTTAGAGGTCATCAAGCCTGACGAGGATATCCTTCAATGCAGCATTTATCTGTCACATAAACCAGATCCGAAATTCATTGATGAAAAAGGGGTGTCTCAGGTTGGATCCCTGCAGATTAAACTACCCAAAGTGGACAAAGGCACCTCCATCGATATTGAGGAGGAAATCTTCATAAAAGACACAGAAGTGGAAGTGATTGCTACTGAACTGCATGAATTTAAGGAATTCAAAGCAACTTTTGACCTTCTTTCTCCAGATATATTGAAAGAAGAGTAAATATCAAAGTCATGTGATGTAAAAAAAAAAATGTGAAAAAATGTAACTTGTAATATCTTGCAATGAATTCAGAACAGTTTTTCATACATAGAAAGTGTAAAATTAACTAAGTATTAAAAATTGCTTTTTTTTTGTGAAACAAAGAATTTATTACTATAAATTATATTGTGCTGTAATGAAAAAGAATTTCAAGATTGCAAAGAACAATTTTTATTCTCTCTGTAAGAATCTTACTTGATAAGTATAATAATTTGCTCTTTCTAAGAGAAACTGACAGATGAGAAGACTTGATCATATTCTGTAAAATGCATAATCAAAGACATTTTTATAACCAATCTTTGTTATCAATTCTGCTGATTGTATGTAATGTGTATGTGTATCCATGTTTTAAACATGTCCAGTGCACCAATCCTATCATTTTACTAAATAGTATGTACATGAATATGCACCTAAGTGTGGAAGTCAGTGAACTGCTGGCTGTCATCATAGCCAAGCATGTATTAGTACATGTGCAACTTGTAAATGTGGAAAAATTGAGTGATATACTTGTGTATTTGCAAAACAATTTCACTGTAGGGAAATTCATTAAAAACTTTCATACAATTTGTCAAAGGTTCTAAGTTTAAAAATTTAGAATAAAGATTTTATAGAAGATAGTATGTTTTTCTTTGAGACATGTATGTTTGCTAACCAACATTGTAAGATTAAAAAATAGGTTAGCATTGCTGTAAAATTAAGTAAGGATAAAAAATATTCTGTATTTTTATTGTAAAACTTTAAAAGTATATGGCCTTTAACGACGTTCGATCCTGATATTTAAAGTCTTAAATTTTTTTTGCCAAGTATATTTTTAGTTTCTACATACATAGCTTAATTAAAATTCAAATCAAAAAATGCTAGTGTAGGCGCTATAGTACATTTAATATGTTTTTGCACTGAAATTTGTGTCTTAGTAAAAAAATTGAGTTGTGGAAAGGATTGTTGTAGGAACTGAGTGATGTGTGGTAGTAACTGAGTGGTGTGTTGTAAAAAAGACACTTTAAAATTTGATGTTGTGTTTCAAATTGCTGTGTGGTCAATAATTTGACCTGGTGTGGGGGTAATAAAATGTGATTTTTCTAGGATCTGAAAATGTGTGGTAAGGAACTTACTGTGTGGAAGTCTTAGTTTTGTGTTTTAAGCAAATAGAAAGTTATTTGTGGTATTCTCTGAACATCAAAAGTGTGTGGTTGTGATGTAAATTTGTGTGTGGTAAAAAAGTGTGTTGTGTGTGGTAAATTGGCTCAATTTGTGTGGTAGGAATGAGTGGTATATTCACTATATTTGTCATACTTTGTTGATAGAATTTATATGAAAAAAATCTGATAGATATTTCAGAACCAGCATGATGCATTTCACTGCAAAAACAGCTTTGTGTGCAACCAGCATAAAAAAAGGAATCCAAAATTAACAGGATTATTATTAAAATTACTGGAAGGGTGAACCCAAGGAAATAGATTTACAATCTAATGAAGAATTTCAGTTTGTTATTACAGTGTGGTAGAAACTGAGTGGTGTGTGTTATTGAATATAGTGGTGTGTGGTAGGATTCAAATTTAATGTTAGAACTTAGAAATGTGAGGTATTTTATAAATGTGGTAGGAACTGAGTGGTGTGTGTGGTAGGAATTGAGTGGTGTGTGGTAGGAACTGAGTGATGTGTGGTAAATTTTTAGTAGTGTAGGATAGAAACTGAGTGGCATTTGGTAGAAACTGAGTGGTGTGTGGAAGAATTGAGTGGTATTTGGTAGGATCTAAGTGGTGTGTTGTAGGATCTAAGTGGTATTTGGTAGGGTCTGAGTGGTGTGTCACCGTGTGTGGTAGAAACTGAGTGTGTGTGGTAGGAACTGAGTGGTATGTTGTAGGATCTGCATGATGTGTAGTAGGATCTGAGTTGTGTGTAGTAGGAATTCAGTGGTGTGTGGTAGGAACTGAGTGGTGTGGGGGTAAGATCTGAGTGCATGATATATGGTAGGATCTGAGTGGTGTGTGGTAGGAACTGAGTTGTGTGTGGTAAGAACTGAGTTGTGTGTGGTAGGTTCTGAGTTGTGTGTGGTAGGTTCTGAGTTGTGTGTGGTAGGTTCTGAGTGGCGTGTGGTAGGAACTGAGTGGTGTGTGATAGGAACACAGGGCTGCTACGTTACTATGAGAACCACAGGTACCAAGGGGCTCCCAACAGGATTATTATTCAAATTACCGGAAGGGTGAACTCAAGAAATAGATTTACAATGTAATGAAGAATTTCAGTTTGTTATTACAGTGTGGTAGAAACTGAGTGGTATGTGTTAGGACCTGAGTGGTGTGTGGTAGGATCTGAGTGGCATGTGGTAGAAACGGAGTTGTGTGAGGTAAGATCTGAGTGATGTGTGGTAAATTCTTAGTAGTGTGGGATAGAAACTGAGTGGTATTTGGTAGAAACTGAGTGGTGTGTAGAAGAATTGAGTGGTGTTTGGTATGATCTAAGTGGTGTTTTGTATAGGATCTAAGTGGTATTTGGTAGGATCGGAGTGGTGTGTGGTAGAAACTGAGTGGTATGTGGTAGAAACTTAGTGGTGTGTGGAAGGAACTGAGCTGTGGTTTGTAGGATCTGCGTGATGTGTGGTAGGATCTGAGTTGTGTGTGGTAGGAATTCAGTGGTGTGTGGTAGGAACTGAGTGGTGTTTGGTAGAACCTGAGTGGTGTGTGGTAGAACCTGAGTGGTGTGTGGTAGAACCTGAGTGGTGTGTGGTAGGATCTGAGTTGTGTGTGGCAGGGTATGAGTGGTGTGTGGAAGCATCTGAGTGGTGTGTGATAGAAACTGAGTGGTGTTTAGTAGGAACTGAGTGGTGTGTGGTAGAATCTGAGTGGTGTGTGGTTGAAACTGAGTGGTGTTTGGTAGAAACTGAGTGGGTTTTTTTTACAAACTTAAAGGATTATTGTAGGAATCAAGATGTGTGTTGTAGGAACTGAGTGATGTGTGGTAGGAACTGAGTTGTGTGTGGTAGGAACTAAGGTTTGCATTGCATAAAATGATAGAATTGTTGTATGAAGTATGCTGTAGGGACTAAGTGATGTGTCGTAGAAACGTAATTGTGTGTTGTAGGAAGTAAGTGGTGTGTTGCAGGTACTGAGTGTTTTGCACAAAATGATAGGATTGTTAATAGAACTTTGAGATGTGCTATAGGCCTGAATGTTGTGATTTAGAGACTAAGTGTTAAATGGTAGGAACTGAGTATTGTGTGGTAGGAACTGAGTGATAGGTTGCAATCTGATAGGATTTTTCTAGGTATTATGATGTATGCTGTAGGCCTGAGAGTTGTGTCGTGGGAACTGAGAGTTGTTTTGTAGAAACTGAGTAATCTGTTGCACAAACTGATAGAATTGTTGTTTTGAACAAATCATAGTTACAGGAGTGAATGGTTTCTTGCATTCTTTGATGTAAAAGCATTTTCGACTCACTTAAACAATACATGATTGTATATCCATTTAATGAAAACATTTTACATTCGTTTCAATGTTGAAATTTTATTTTTTTTGGATTAAATTTTTTATTAGGTTATTTATATTTTTATAGATTCCTACAAAACCTTTATGAAGATTGTTAACTCTCTATACATGCCATACGAGACAAATAAGTTTATGGCCTGCGTAGTCGGTCTGGTGTTTGCTGATGGTCAGCTACATACTGATAAGAATGTATTTACTAACCTCTGCGACTTAGTATTATCCTTTATTGGGAGATGGTCGAAAACGTATGTTTGGTTTGTAGACATATCTTTATTAAACAGAACCCCTAGTGTGAAAGGGCGAGACGATTTAGAGGGTCATAAACCCCCCAGATTAAAGTATACTGGTATTGAGGGAAGGCCAATATTACAGAACATTTCTTTACTACCATATAAAATTTAATCATTTTTTCGATTTGGACAAATTTTACCTTGAAAACCTAAAAATGAGCAAAGCTAGAAGACAGTTATCTGAAGTTTCGGTATAAAAGATTATGCTGATTATTTTTTTTACAATTTATACCCTTTAACATGGCCTCGCTTAAGATGATGAATTATTGCGCCTGGTTAAATATGATACCTTTACCTCTTCAGTAAATAAGATCATAAACTGTCTTGTCCCTTATATTAACTGTACATGTTTATTTCCCCGGGTTAAAAGAGTCACTGTGATATTCTTTTGAGTGAAGTCTATGTGATACAGATATGATTTTACAATAATTGTAGCGAACTTGAAGTGTTTTCTTTGCAAAATGGAATTTAATCATAGCAACACATTCATCATGATTTTAGTAGTTTTTCTGGTTATCAATTTATCGGTAGTTGTGCCAGAATCAAGTTCATTATCTCCAAGTGTCTCGGTATCCAATTCCTTGACAGGACAATCCACACAAAAACCAGAAAGTACCCGAAGCTCGTCAGAAGTTCCAACTACGCATGCTCAGCCTGGAACTCCAAATCCAAACTTGGAACCTACGAAGAGTTTTGAAGAAAAACAGTCAATGGTGGCCATATTTACTCTGGTTCTCTTGCTCTTCTGTATACTGCTTGTAATCGCTGTCATCTGCATCGGAAAAGTCGAAAACAAGCGTACTGGATTGTGGAAAAGCAGACGTCTGTCTGTGGCAGTCGATCATGACCATAACGATATTTCGAACGAATTTAGTAAATACAGCAAGTTTTAAAAGTATTTTTGTTTACCTAGTTTGAAGATAAACCCTTTTTGAATACAACTAATGAAGTTATTTTATGAAATCTTAGAAATGGTTCAAAACTTAAAAGATACCTTAAAGTTCTCTTTACGGTACTATACGACTTATATGAAGTAGTAGACTGCTCATGAATATTATATTTATTATGTGTTATAATGTATTTTTTAATTGTTGAATGTGTTAACTTTTTTAACAACATCTTTAATTGGACCTTTTTAGCTCACTTGAGCCGAAGGCTCAAGTGAGCTTTTCTGATTAAAATTTGTCCGTCGTCTGTCGTTGTTGTTGTCGTCGTTGTTGTCGTTGTCGTAAACTTTTCACATTTTCGACTTCTTCTCAAGTACCGCTGGGCAAATTTCAACTAAACTAAATTTCCACAAAGCATTCTTGGGTGAAGGGG